CGAGGAGGAGGAGCGCACGTAGGAACGTAACAGTTGATGGGAGTAATGCAAGAAAAATGGGGAATGAAAGTAAAAGTGAACTGCAGCAGGTGAAGTGTTCATTTATCTTGGGTTTTCTGTCCGCATTGGTAAATTGATGAGTCACGAACATGACTCGAAAACGCCGCTCAAAAATCGCTTTCGACGCTCTCAACATGTCGGTCGTTGCCATGTTTGGTCGCCTGACGGATGACTCTGGAATCTCTGGATGGAACTCAGCGTCTGCGCAATGTCCCTTGCTTTAAATTAAGTGATCATTACGAAACTTCATCCTGGAATCGGAGGGCCTCTACTGCCGTACTAAGGAAGAACGCCGTATGAACATCAGAGAGTTGCCACGTTTCTCTTGATAAAACTTATATTTTTGACAACATTTATGTATATTGTTCCTTGAATTTTTCAGATATTTTAGATTAAATTGCGTACGAAATTGTCCGAAAATTTTGGGAAATAATATTCACAATTTTCCCAGTAAATTCGGTCTTTATCGGAGGCAATTAGGCAACGTCTGAAGGCTCATACGGCGTTCTTCCCTAGCAGTCTACGCGCTCGAATCGCGAGTAATCCATCGTTTCGACTCGAATTGGATTGCGGCCCTATTAAAATAACCAACGCTCATTGTTAGTACTTCTGTGGGGCCGGGGCCCCTGGCAATTTCATGGAGTTAGCCGGTGAATCAGCGCTTTTACCGTAATGTTTACTTTCTAAATAAAGCGGTGTAGGTACAAAAATGTCCACGCTGAGCGCGTTAAAAGTCGAAGCCAAAGCCATTTGTCGCTGTTGGCCGCTTCTCTATTTATTGCTGCCCGTGAAAAAGGTTCGTTTTACAACTGTTTAATTTACATTACAGCAATTTTTCGCTCAGTCAATCGGAGCATTGTCAGAGGCAGATGGATTAACTTTTCCAACTTATTATTCCGTAACGATTGACAGTAAGTCGCGGAGACCTGTAATCCTTCGAACGATCGACGAGGTATGAAAACCAGTGAAAGTGGAAGTCGATTCCGTCATGATTTTCCTCCGTCGTCTATATTTTCATCGGAGAAATGATGGTTGTTTTGTATGCCTGAATAGGTTCGCATTTATGTTTACGCGTTTGGATTATCACCCGGCGCCGCACCAAGCCGCGGCGCCGGTAGTCCATCAAGTAAATCCCTCACGTGACTTGGCAAAATTGTTTACAGATACGCCTTCTTGGGGCAAAGCTAAAACTAGGTGGTGCCATTCGCCATAGGCGCCAGTCGCATCACACGTTGGCATGTTTTCGGTTTCAGACTTCTGCGTGTCATTGTTGTGGGTAGATTTCCGGCACATGTTGATAGTGGAATATGACGGTAGATACCTGGTCGCAGCCGCGCCACATATAGTACGGGAAGATATCGAAACTTGAGGACTTCTTCGTTAAAAGAGCGTATGAGTCTTGAGATTGAGGAGCGTAGCTCTTAATTTTAAAGTACTCTATCCAAAGGCTCTGCCATGACTTTATTGTTCTCCGAATCTGCTCCGAATTTTTTCTCATTGTTGTAAGAGTACCCAAGCTTACCCTTCCCACTTTCGTGGAACGCCAGTGTTGCTGTTACAATTTTTACGACAAACCAGTAAGTGCAAAGTAAAGGCCAAAAATTGACTGGAGCTTTTTGGGGGATTTTTAATAAGAAGGATATGACAAGACCTCAGTTTGTACGCATCGTTGCTGATAACCTCAATGCCATCAAATTGCACTCGAAGATTAACGTAGCTTCTCCTCCACTGCGGGCCGATTATCGAAACTGATAGACAAAGCTACAGATAAAGACGACAAAAGGGATTTGGAGGGATCCTATTGGTGGAAGCGGGTGGTGGCAATGGACATAGGAGGTAGGTAATGGACTGAGTAACGGCAACCCACCAAAGACCCGACAGTTAGTCCATTATTTTTCTTCCTTAGTCTATGGGAACCAACCTTGTCAACCAATAGGATCGCTCCATACTCCCTATGTCTTCTTTGTCTATAGCTTTGTCTATAATCGGCCCGCTGCTCTGAATCGGAAAAATTCAATTCTCACTCAGAACTGCGGTTTGACGCCACGTTAGTTTATGAAATATCCTTGACAATGGGCTGGTTTAACGTTTTCCATTTTCAATGCCCATGGTCAAAATCATCGGGTAAGGCCGCGATCTTGACTGAGAGCAGCGCGCGCATTGCTCCGTTCCGCATGACGTAAACGACCGAATCGGGACGGAACGTCCCTAATCCGGATTTAATTTCTCCGGAGTCTAAAGTGACCGAGTCCGTGCTCGCAGCGACGGACGCGGACACGAGGTGTCGGAAAAAGATGATCCCAACGGAGACAATGCGTCATTTCCCGAACGAAGAAAACGCCGTTCCATGGTTGCAAAATTTAAATTTTTTTTTGACACATCGGCTAATTTTTGCGTGAGATCAGAAGAATAATCAGCTAGGAATTCAGGTAGAAATTCCCAAAATTCTCCTTGTAAAGTGTGATCTTTGCGGGGAAATTTAGCAACATTGGAATGTAGTTAAGTTCTTTCGTGAGAGAAACGACGAATACACAGACTCAGCTGCGTCAACTCCTAGTGTAGTGTTGCCAGATTACTATACCTCAAGTACCCAAAATTTGGCGGTGGGGTGGCGTTTGCGGATTCTTATATTTTGATGGTGGCGATCGCGGAAAGGCGGAACAGGGCCGGTGGAGTTTGCGGACTAGAGAATTTCGGCGGTGGCGATTGTGGACGGAGGGGTAGGCACTTAATTATGCTGCCCCCCACCCCTGCGCTGTATATTAAAGAAAAAAATTACCGGAGAGGCTTTAAAATTATTTATAAAAATATAATTGAAAAGATGCGAATTAGCTGGGTTTTATGTAATATTTTATCATTTGAAATGATAATAACAAACTCAACAAAAACTTTGAAATCATAAGTTCAAAACCGCTGACGCCGCAAGTTTGAATAATCACATCAAACACAGTGCGGCCGGCGCGCACGGCGCACAGTAGCGCCTTACAAGACCGGAGGATACTTCATGCATTGCGCGTACGGCACGGTGCGCGTGACGCGTAGTATAGCGCCTTACAAGTCTGCAGGATACTTCATACATTGCGCGTATACCACGGTGCGCGCTCAAGTCGTTGAAAAGTTGTATTTTCTTGGTGTCGAACCTACCCCGAAGTACCCAATTTCTGAATAAAGCATACCGCCAGGTTCTGGATTCCTTTCCGTGGATGAAAATAAAGATTAGTATTAAACATCAGAATGTTTTCAGTTATCCATGTTTTCAGTTATCCATGTTTTCAGTTTTGGAGTCCCCAAAGAAAGTGGCAACCCTGCTAATGTATTTGCTCCCTATCTATGCATGGAGAGTTTGTTTTGATGTAGAGGTGGACTCTCAGGGTAGGGCGGGATATCCCCTCCATTTTGGCCTCACTTTGAGAGCTTTTTTTGAGCTTTGGGAGTTGATTTCAGAGAAAACCAGTGGGACCATTGTGTTTCTCGCGAACTTTTATACAAGAATCAACCGTCAAATTGCAAATTCCTCACACATGCAACATCTCCATTGCTCAGTGATCGGTGGGGTATAGACAATTTTTCAGACCGTATTGAAGTTGTCTTGCACTGGTACTGGTACGTTCATCTCCTCGTCCGGATCGAGCAGCTTCGAGCGATAAAAACGAAGTTGGTTGGCTGTCTTCAGGGATGACGCAGTACGCAGAGATAGGGAACATCGTGGGAGTCTGAATCCCCTCAACCTTGCAGCCTTGCTCCCCCTTCTTCATTCCGTTTGATCTAGGACCATTGCACCAACGTCTGCTTTCTCTCGCGCTGATGCCAAACGTTCGAAAAAAAAATAATTTGCCCAAAGAAAGTGTAATTTTGAGAAAAGTAGATTTAAAAGCTAGAAATTACGCCGCCTTGTGATATCATCAGGCGTTATTCCCTATTTAACCACTTTTATTTTGGCAGATTTAGACTAACTTTTCATCGCAATTTTTGCAGTGGACCGCGTTCGGCAATAAGGAACCAAGCCACATCAGCTATTATCAAATTTAAGTAGGCATTTTAATTTTGAACAAGAGAACGTTTGTGTGGATTACATTGAAAATTTAAAGGAATTCGCATCCCACTATGTATGTAGAAAATTCACTGAAATTTCCACAAAAATCCGCACAACCCTGTTCTTATGTTAAAATAAAATTGCCTGCAAAAATTAAATTTCCCAATTATGGCAATTGATAATGTGGCTATGTTCCTTTCTGCTTAACGCGGTCCATTTAATTATTAACAATTAAAAGTAAAGTCTGTTGCGCCAATTACTTTCTACAGGAAAAAAGGTTTAGAAGAAAATAAGGAAAAGGTTTAAGATAACGACTTTTGCGAAAATCCGACATCGTTGTTTTCGAATTTATCTAACGAAGAGAGCATCCTCAAGATTCTTTTTTAAATCCCCGAAGGCGGCTGACTTAAATCTCTCTCTCCATTCGAATGAGTTTTGCACTCCTGCTCCAATCGCACTTTTCCTCTCCGTCCTTTGAGATTCGCTAATTTAGATCCGTCGGAACCTCACGCTTCAGTTTGTCTGAATCGAAAGAGAAGGAAAAGAAAGGGAAAAAAGGAAAGAAAGGAAGTTCTTGATAGGAGCAACAAACACACTTTGTAAATAGTAACGACTTGCTCGCTTTTGCGTCGTGCAATGTAAATTTAACGCGCTGAAAAAACTAAAAGTCGCCAGCGATTGGGACTAAAAACTTATTGGAATGCGTCATATAGAGGTACTGCAACTATTTTCATGCGTTCCTTCCATCAGTTCAGAAAAAAAATAGAGTTTTTACTCGTAAGTTTTATGGTATTTGCGGTTTTGCATTTTTCTAGGGTTGTGTGAAGTAACATGTTCTGTTCGTACATTCCTGATGTCTACCGTGAATTCATAACTCAATCGGATTTTTCTTCTTCTTTTGTTCCAGGTAATTATCACATCAAGATGGAATAACTTTGTGCTCACTGTCGCAATCGTAAGTCCAGATTGCTTTCCATCACATAATAAATCGATGTAAACAGAAACAATGACAGCGTGCAGGCATAATCGTAAAATCAACTCTTCAATTTTGTTAGGTTTAATTTTAGTAAAGCCGATTTTTATAATACGAGATGAGAAGATCATCGCTAAAATATAAAATGTCGTGCCTTGTAACGTTTTTACTATCCTCGAAACATTTTCTTTAATTTTTCCAAAATAAACGTAACGTAGGCCCTGAAATCAGAGTAATTCTCCGAAAGTAGTTCACTGATTAACAGTCGATCTTACGTAAAAATTGCAATGCCTCAGAGCTAATTACCTCGTGCGCTTTTATATTTTTTATATTATTGAATTAATTTTTTCATGATTTGTTAAAATACTGCTCTTTAGTGAATGATATTTGAATGAGCTCGTTCAGTTTGGAATCGAGGAGAGGAAATGGCTTAAAAATCTGATGTAAAATCGTGCAATATTTCAGAGCGTGAACAACTGATTCTCTCTCCTTTTCTTCATAACTCAAGGAAGTTCCAACCCGTCAAGGAGCATCCCATTAATTATCATTATCATAAATTTCCCCAACCTTTTGAGGGCAGATTGCAGCTAGGAAAAAATGCATGATTTACAGCGCCTCAAATCCGGAAATCGGCAAATCCGTGGAGGATTAAATATGCACCTCGGATTGAATCCTGAGCGTCGCCGTTGAATGCAAGCGAAGTCGTTTACGAGGAGGAGATTAACTTAAAACCGGGCGTGATCCCACGCTTTTGGCGGGGGTGTGTTCTGCCGTGTTACGGAAGAACGTCGTATGAACCTTCAGGCGTTGCCAAATTTCCTTTGATAAAACGCTAATTTTCTGGAAAACTTTTGAATATTTTCGCTCCAATTTTTCAGATAATTTTGTTCGCAATTTCACCTAAAGTTCCCGATAATTTCAAGGAAAAATAGTCATAACTTTCTTCATAACTAAACATTTTATCGAAGGAAATTTGGCAACACTCGAATGTTCATAAGGCGTTCTTCCTCAGCACGGCAGTAGTTGTGTGTTGTGCATACGCAGCGTGGCAAAACACCAGGTTCCGGAGCAGGAGCAGAGGCTGCAGGGGTGAAGCACCCTCTTCGAGGTCCCGTTGCTCCTTATTTTCGGCCTGGGAGTATTTCTTCCACCACCTGCTCATCAGTCATCTTTGAGCGAAATCTTAGCTCGCATGCAGGGGTGCATCAGGACCAGGAGTTGCCTCTCCCCCGACCCTCGCCCCCGCACCCCCTCCTCACCTTCCTTCCCCCTCTGTTTACTGCCCACTCTCCCGACGACCGCGACTTAGTATCATTTTTCTCATCCTCCCAGATGCGTATCTGTGGACCTTTTTCCCCCTTTTATATTCCTCCACCACGGGTGCCTCTTCAATTACCTGCCCAACGCTCAAGATGCAGCCCCTCCACCCTCCACCCACCTGTGTTACACCTGCTTTCAGTTTGGTAGCCCAGTGGACCTGACCTGACAACCTGCATGTTGTCAAATTTATCGGGATTACGTTTTTTTCATCGGAGAAGTTGTGATTTTTAGATTCGTTGGTTTTATATTAACTTACGCCCAAAATTACGCATGCGCGGAAACATGAGTAACAGTTTCTTTGAGACTACGATTTGTGGCTATCACCTTTGCATGATTTTAAGGAAAAATTCTAGCCTGAACATTAAAGTGGAGCGTTCCGCTAAGTGCAGCGCCTTAAAAATCCACTTGTAGAGTGACATGCAAAAGCACCGGAATCTCTGTGAAACTCATTCCGAGTAAAACTTATTACTTGCAAAAATGCAACTCAAGCCCAACAAAGGGAAAATTTGGGGCTTGGCCCTGTTCACACGCGAAAAGAAACACGTCTACGTGAGTCAATTTTAATCATATGTGTATACATTTCTTATTTATAATTTATTTATCTTTGTCATAATTGTTTCTTAATAATACTTATACCTCGATACAGAAGTATAGCAATTTAGGAGCATACATTTTTCCGCACGGAGATTTAAAATGATCGGCAGCAAAACATCTCGCGAAAAATAAAAAAATTCGAGGTCAATTCGCCTTCACGCCAAACTTCCTGGTTGGACGTCGGGTAAATTTTCCTGCTCTTTCTTCCAGCAGTCGTGACATCTGAGAGGGATACCACTATTCGGCCACGTGGGAGCTCGGGTTGCCTACTCTCAAAACTGAAGGCAAACTAACAGTAAGGCTCGCCACGCTCACTGAATTATTCCTATTATCTTTTTGCCGTCTCCTTTTTCCGCCGACCCTGGGTAGCCTAGATAGTGAAATAGATTTTTTTTTTTTTTTTAGAAAACATGCCTCAATCTATCTATAAAATTTTTATGACTGGTCTATTTACTCATCCGATTATTGAAAAGTCCCCCTTTTGTTCCATTTGGCTAGTCAGCCGGGCCTGTTTTTACACCTCCCGATCGTCCAGGTAGATCACGTGCATGGTTGATAGATGGTGGTAAAAATATTCGTTTTATCTTATTGAACAGGAACTGGGGTATTGAAAATTGCATCGATAAAATGTGCAACCTCGGATTAAGTTGAGTATCGCTCGGGTTGTACCTTAAGCTAAAGCACGTTTCTTTCCTCTCCAAACAATCTATATCGAACGCTCTAAAAGGTGTCTGGAGCCGAAAAGGTGGAGGCTCCGCTTTGTTTGCATTTTCTTGTTTTTTTATTCAACGCTTCAAGTAAATATTGATGCTTTCGAGTGGACAGACTGCACCAGTATGACAGGAACTATATCGAGTGCACATTTGTGTTAAGTCGAGGGAAAGTTATTTGGTTGGTTTTCAAAAAGGTTTTCGAGGAGAAAGGAACTCTCTCCGTCGATAAAAATCCTATAATCCTCTTTTGAGAGCATTTGCAGTCTCGGGCATTATCAGAGGACCTTTCTCATATTTCTTGCATTTTGTTTGCGCGGATCAACAAGCTTGAATTTTGCAGGGTTTTCAGAACAGGCCTCATTTCTGATGTTACGTCCAATCCTCTCTATTTTTAGGTACGTTTAGAGGTTTCCGATGAATAATTAAGCGAAACGTGAGGTAGTTGAAGGGATGAAACCTTCGAACTACGGGGACCAATTCTGATCTCACTCTTGCGAAGTGCCTTGCTTAAATATTGTACAATTTTTATTAAAGGGGGAAAAAAAATCCTCTCGTGAAACTGATGTCAGAACAGAGATTTTCTCAGAATTCGTCTTCGAAATTTTTTTAAGGGCGTATCAGTGAGCCTTCAGTGAGATTAAAATGAAGTTAATTTCGAGGCGCGTATTGAGATTCCAACCGTAAACTATCCCTTAGTAACAGTATGAGATCAACCGAGGAGTATATTTACCTGTCAATCCTATCATCTTGCGTCGAACATACATCGGAGAATTGATACACTGCCGATTGCTGTGGGTCATATTCCACGAGTGTCCCGTTTCTCAGAAGTTGTACTCATCGAAATCGCAGTATTTGTTCGGTCATGCTTGATCTCCGAGAATTTTAGCCTCGTTGAGATCGTCTAACCAACGGTTTCGCGCTGCCTCCTAGACGAGTTTCCGAGTATTTTTATGGATTTATGAAAAATCAATACGGCGTGCAGAAATGCTTCCCGGCAAGAGGGAAAGAGGCATTCCAGTGCGTACACTGGAAGGACAACATAACAGGAAGTAGCGTTTTCTCGTGTCATCGATCATCGCATCAAAGCGACGTCAAGAGTCGATTCGCTGCGTCTCGATGTTGCCAATTCGTCGCTCCTCTAAGTCTAACGTATAGATCGTATTCGATACATCAAACTGGTGAGATTGTATCGATATCGATTGGTTCAAAACATAAACATAGCCTCGGAAGTAAATTCCGAAATCTGAGACAACAGGTCTTTTGTAACAGATTTTTTATCCTTTTGAGTACCAAATGCCAGTTCAAAGTGAAATTGTCAGGAAATTTCTCATTTTCAGCTTTTTCAACATAAATCCTTACAGTTTGGTTTGAGGTTATGTTCTATTGTTTTGAACCAAACGATACATCGAACCGTTATCGAATACGATCTATAAGGGCATATCTCAATTACATACATGAGCTCCGGAAAGCATAGAGATTTGCGGAAAACAGTTAAATCGAGTTACGCCATTACGTCTAAGGTGCGACAAATTCTGTCTGCCTTTGACTGATATCGTGAATGATACTGACTGAATCGTTAAAAAATAGTTTAAAATTTATAATTTACTGTAAATCCGGCAACTTCGATTCCGGAAGAGAAGATTGTCAATAGGTGGTTAACTGCAGTCCGAGAGGTATTATCTTGATAATTTTTGCAATTGCAGCCGATCCACGAGACCGAAACAGGTCGTTGCACCGAAATGCCGGCGCTTACTCTTTCTCGTTCTTCACCATTTATCTTCCCTCAGTTGACGGCTATGCTCTTGACACTCGTTCGCTAATTGTTTGCGGCCAGTTTTATTGATAACGTGCGATGAATCAGGAGGAGAAAAATGAAGAGAACAAAGACAAAGCACTATGCACAGTTCAGTTGATTGCGCGATTGCGCGCCTCCTCTCCGCAGATTTCTTGTCCCTCAACAGAGTAGCTTCTTATTTGCTGAATTCAGTCAATCTAATTCTTTTAACGATTAAAGTCTGCTTTCCTTCGATTTTTACAGTATCAGCCTTGTGTACTCAAATTAATTTCATACCCGTCACTTTTCCACGGTAAGGAGTTTAGAGATCAATTCATGAGCCAGATTCAACATGAAAATGCTCAAGCATGTTGCATGTACATTATATACTCCTGTAATCAATTAATACTCCCCAATCAGTCGCAGGGTGTCTACAAGTCCGGAATTTCCGGAAAGTCCACAAAAAGTACTGATTTCTTAAGGGCGGACCGGAAGCACTGAAAAAGTGCGGAAATTCCACAAAAAGGTCCGGATTTTTTTTTTAATTTGTTGTCATTTTTGGCGCAATTTCAGATTTTTGA